CTTGGCTTCTTTAACTTATGTTTCAAACAGGAACCATGGAGACGATGGAGTGTACTGATTATTGAGACCAGCCCATGTCTCTGAGACCAGCAGGTTCTTCTATCACATGGTGGTCTGGAGATGTGACGGGTCCTGCTCCTGACATCAGAAGGAGGATGTAACTTCATAAAATCACCCAGGAACAGACAGTTTTAGTTGTTAGCTCATCAGTTTAGTCATAAATGACGTATTTCCAAACTGTGGTCAATCAAAGAGCCATCTACAACAGGTAAGATATTTACTGTTCATGAAAGTTCTGTAAAAACCAACCTCAAGATGTATGAAATGTCCTTTTAATGTTCTGAGCCTTTACTGACAGAATATAAATGTGTTTTGTTAATTTATAATTATTTTGTTGTTTGTTACTCGTCCTGCAGATTAAAGAACATTTTTTTTATTTTCAGGTTTTATTTTGGAAGCTGCAAAAATAAAATCAATTTCTCATAAATTACAACGGTTCAAACCTTTTTGATTCCTGGAGTTTTGTTGTGGTGTTTCACACACAACACCTCGTTCTGACAACACACACACACACACACACACACACACACACACACACACACTACTGCTCCTCTCTGCTCCGGGGTAATTAGCTGATTAGCTGCTTAATTAGCGGCATGTAATCAAGAAGAAGGATGAGCTGCCTAATGGAGGAAGTGAAGAGTCGTGTCTCTGAACGGAGGATGACAGAAGACAGACGTCACCAGAAGAGAAAATCAAATCAACCGTCCAGAGAGGAGGAACCTTCACTGGAGGAGCAGAAACCAGTCCGGTTCAGATGCTGATGGAGGTGGGAAACATTCAGATGTGATTTTACCTCCAACTCAAACAGGAGAAATACAAATGTGGAGTGCAGGTAGGAAACTGATGTGACACAGGTGTGGGGTCCAGATGAAAAACCAATGAGACACAGGTGTGAGGTCCAGGTTATAAACCGATGAGACACAGGTGGGGGAGGGGGAGGGGGTCCAGGATGGAAACCGATAAGACACAGGTGTGGGGCCCAGGATGGAAACCGATGAGACACAGGTGTGGGGTCAAGGATGGAAACCGATGAGACGCAGGTGGGGTTCCAAGATGGAAATTGATGAGACACAGGTGTGGGGTCCAGGATGGAAATTGATGAGACGCAGGTGTGGGGTCCAGGATGGAAACCGATGAGACGCAGGTAGGGCGTCCAAGATGGAAATCGATGAGACGCAGGTGTGGGGTCCAGGATGGAAACCGATGAGACG